TTATCCCCGGTATACCTGGGTATACTAGGTATTAGGGTTGGGTATGACAACGGAGAATAAGGACTTCACAATGACAAAATTGTTAAACAAAGAAAACAAGCGTGTTTATTCTGTGACGATTACACTATCACGGTCTCTTACAGTTCAGGTTAAATACTCTAGCCGAATTGAACCGAACAATTCCAACCGCGAAACATATACAAGATCTGTTCTAATTACATACCACGAGGGTTTGCTTTATCCCCGACATAACACAAGAAATATCACCTTACAATTGTTCGTGTTGATGTTCTCTTCCTTTAGGAACCTCTATTCAGTCGAACCTCACAATGTCCACGTGGATGGAGTTGGATTTTAGTTAGCCTCCTCAGCAGTTCATTCTTTCTCCTTTTCTCGTAGCAAAGATGATCCAGCGAAACGACCCGTCAGAACTTCTAGAATCCAAGGTTGAGACGAAAAAAGTCCACTCTTCAGGCAAACCACCCCTTTTATACCGTCTCCCTGATACATACTACGTCATTACTACGTTTACAACCCTCACCCAATCAGTGAGCACACACCACAAAAAGGTGATTTTCCGACATGAACGAAAATTTTACATACACGGATCCATAATCTGATACGAGATAAACCGAAACAAGACATTACATTTGTGTACAATACAATTAGTGCTGTAGCACTACAATTTCATAGTATTCAAAAGCAATGATGACAAATAAACAATTTTTATCATTCTTTTAATTTAATTTTTTAAATTTGATATGAAAAGGATAAGAAAAAGTAAGGAAATATTTATTTTATATATGCATTAAAATAGTATAAAAAACTTAAGAAAAATTGTTTATCAATAAAATGATAATATAAAATGATGATATATTTGATAATAAAACTATCAGTATATTTAAAAAAACAATAGCAAGACTATTATTTTACATGTAGGTATTTCGATAAAATTCAATGAACTTAAATTTTGATTTTGAACACATAGAAACACTTTTGCATTGCGTGTAATATTCGTTTTTGCAAAAAATTCATCTGGCCCATTAGTATCCCCCTTATTCAGATTCTAGATCCGCCGCTGGTCAAGGGTGTCACGATTTATTTTTCAATTAGGTGTGCCACTCAATGAAAAAGGTTGAAAAACACTGACTTAGTCAAATAGCTCCCTACGAGTGGAATCAGAGATGGTCCTGCTAGGTGTGCAGTGCGTGTATGCACGCGGGCTGCCAAATCCCGAGGGTGCCGATACTGGTCAATTTCAAATGCCTCTTTTGTTGTATCACTAATATACCTCAAAAGACGGGACAGGGTTCTTGTAAATTTTAAATGTTTCTCACCATTGCTGTAAGAGTCTAAATATGTTAAAGTTAACAGATTGTCCGTCGTTTGTTTTCTAACTAATAATTTTAGGACCAGCTGTCGTCCACGGAAATTTCCAAAATTTACAACTTTTCGGTCACTCTCGTTGAACTGGAAAAATGTCTGTCTTTATTACATCTAATATTTCAAAGAAATCAGTCCCACTGTACTTGGCTAGAGATTGGTTCGGTTAGGCTTTTGTTTAAGTAAAATTTCAGCTCTTTCGTCAGGGTTTTGTTTACGTCCCCAATTCCCTAATCGCTTAATTATTTAACTACTTCTTAAGTAGAAATAAGTCGAAACCAGTTACTTTGTACTCGAATATTTGTAGTCTCGGGAAAAAGTGGAAAGACAAATTTTTATGACAAACGGATACATAAATCATAAATTTAAGGAAAATAAATTCTAGAGCTTTTTCTGTACCTCGTGCATATCTCTCACTCATTAAATTTGGTTGTAAATTATGCTACCAAAGTAACAGTTAATTTTTTAACATTATATAAGAATTGTACACGTTTTTTTCTACATTCCCTTAGAGATGGGATATACGAAATCGTAATATCACTGGTTTAACATTGAAATCCGTGAGTAATATAAAATCGGAGAGCAGAATAAATATATCAAATATTTTAACGGATTTTTTTAAACTCCTGTCAACTATACAGAAAACTATCATAAAAACATACAGGTAAATTCTTATCAGTTGGGTTAAGTTATAAATCTACTCATGATTCACATAATCGGGCGAGGGCGGCCAAATATCTAGCAGGCGGGTGGCTAACAGCCCAGAACCAGTCCTGGATAGAATTGGATGCATTATATATGTAGCAGCCACCCAAGGTCCTAGGCTTCCACCAGCTAAACCGAGTGAGGTTGGTGCTCTGTAAAGCACATGCGCAAATCTGGCTTTTTGGATGCTGACAATACAATGTTTCCACTCCGCCACTAATATTTGAATATACAATAGCAATCTTATCTTTTTTTTCACATGTAGTATAGAAATTTGTAATAAGATACATAATGTGGTTATAATAAAATATTGTGCGATTATTTTCATATAATTAAAATTAATATGTATTTATTTTTTAGAAAATATAAGGGAAGCGGCGCATCCACCGCTTCTAATGACGGCACGCCACTGCTATAGAGGGCATTCAGCAGAAAAAATACTCAACTGCTCTGGAACTGTTGAGTCTGCTGACCACATCCCATGTTATGTTAAAATAGTTTCTAAAATGTTTTCTTTCTCTCACAATTCAATTATGGCAATATCTTGCTGATGAGAGAGGAAAACTGAATTTCTACAGAAATAATAACTTTTATATAGATTAAATGTCATGAAAACAAATAAACTGTGAAAATTAAAAATAGTGATGCCATTTTATAATTAAAAAGAAAAATTTTTTAAAACTTTACGACAACTACGAGAATTTTATTCCTTATTATTTGAATTACATTTGTGAGATTCGGAATTTTTACCGATTATTTTGCCGACTAATTGTCCTGTATTCGCCTAAAAATGTTATTAAATTTTCCTTTAACTTAAAGTGAAACCTAACAGAAAAAAACTTTTCGTTTATGTTCGACATAAACATCTGTTCAATTCGAAACTAATCCCGCATTCCAACTCCAAAGTTGATAGTTAGCATGGTCCCGGGAACAACTCTGACCCATCTGCGTACCTTTTACCTCACAACAATCAATCACGTGACCATTCTCCCACGCCGATCTTATAAAAACCCCTTCCTTCCCCTTCTCGGGGGAGTCGTTCCAGAGCAGGTGCCAGGAGCCGATAACTTTAAAAATAGTGTCCTTTTTAACCAGTGAACTTTCCTAAATCATTGATTCAAATATTTAACCCATGAACTCTCCTAATCAGTAAACTTCCCTAACCAGTGAATTTTCCTAATTCAAAGAGTGGATAAGTTTCCTCAGTGGATAACAGATCAAGAGGTATGGAACCAATTATTGTAAGCTCTCTCTCGGTCTCTCCGCGTTTTAGGGACGCGAACTAGACGATGTACTACCCGAACTTGCATTAATAAATTGTTAATTTTCCTTATGTTACATCTGGCCTCCTCGTTTACTCGTATATCGCCTGTCGTCTCACCGACGCACTCCTCCCTCTGCCACTTGACCCGAAACATTAAAGCCCGTTACTGCGGGAAAAAGAATCCTTCCACCCATCCTGACAGTGAAAGGGTTTAACAACCTGTTGCCGGATCGGGAGATCTACCCCTCCCTTCCCGGTGGTTCACACATTTGTATATTTGTAATTTGATGATTTTTTTTTTTTAAATTAGTACAAATTTAATTTATTCTGTATTTCAATCATTTTTTTGAATTCTTAAAAATAAATTTATCATCTATTTTATAATTCTAAGGCTAGGTGCATAATTTATCAGCCACAGAATTGTAGCTAAAAGCCAAAAAATATTATGGCTAAATTGTATTCATACAAACATTAATTAAATATATGTAAACAAATGCAATAATATTAAATACTATATTAAATTCAGATGCATTATATGGATTTAAATTAAAATAATGCTAATACATTTGTAAATAAATGACCTATTGCATAAAAATTATTAACATAATCAGGTGAGAAGCTGCATTAAAATATTAGAGGTACATAAACAGAGTTTTCTATAATTAATTTGACTTTAACTTACCAAGATATTCTGTATCATAATAAGCATACATTAATGGACTCTGCGATCGATGTCTTCTTGCATACTCCTTACCAGACTGAATCATGACATTCCATAACTCATAAGTTTTTTCTTTTGTTACAATCTAAAAATAATCATTACAATAAGAAATAAACATTATTACAAATATTTATAAGTACTTATAAATGTTAACAATTTATCTACATTTTTATTATTATAGATTTATATAATTTCTTAACTAATCTAAATCTCAATAACTATACTTCGATGCATTTTGAAATAACATTAACTTCCGGTTTGCATCAGAAGTTCATACAGTTAATCGGAGCCTCCTTTCCCTAAGGTTTCCATATCTGATCTCATCTTTCATCTAACTCTGTTCTTGAGATTAAGGAAAGACAGATGGACAGATGACAGAGTGAATTTATAGGTCTACAATTTTTTCAAATTGCAGCCCAAACATGATATAAGCAAACACACTTAAAAAAAAATATTTGTAAAGCTGATGCCAATGTCTCAACTGTTCAGAAACTATATAAGATCTCTTAACAATTTACAGGAAAAACTAAGGCTACATTGAATTAATAAAAATGTATCTTTCTTCAGAACTTTTTATTTCTTATTAACTCTGTTCCTAATTCTGTTGTAGAAAAATTGAGAGAATTCATTTGGTTAATAAAAAATAAAGAACTCAAATCCTAAAAACTCTAATATAATTCATAGAAAGATATTTGACAGATAAAAGATTGATTGATTTTATACAGTGTAAATAGTTGCATAAATGGCAAAATTTTATGATTGATTAGGAATATCAGTACCCAATCTTAGAACTTGTTTATTATGAGTTTGAAATATAAAAAAAAAATTCTTCTACAAGTTCAATTATGAAAATATAATTTTAATAAAGCATTATAAAATGTAGTTATCAATCAGTAATACATTTTGCTCTGTTGATGCTTCTTTATCCATTCCATTTTCTTCTTATAATTCTTATGCAACCTTTCTGTCACTTGATACATGAGCTTAGGCTGTGGTATAAGTTTGGGGCCAAATTTGCAGATCTCATTGATACATGGTGGTGGTGGTGGTGTAATGTTATCCCAGCATATGATGTATTAACAAGGTCTGCAAATTTGGCCCCAATTTGTGCCACAGCCTAAATTCATGTATCAAGTGACAGAAAGGTTGTACAAAAAGAAAATGGAATGGATAAAGAAGCATCAACAGAGCAGAATAAGACTGCAAGTCCTCCCAATCATTTGCTGGGATAACAGTAATACAGGAAGAAATAAATACTGAGAATGATCATAAAAATACAGTAATACCCCGACTTACGCGAACCCGGAGTTACGCGATTTTCAAATCTCATCAATTCGTCTTTTCTTTGAGTGCCACGCAACCCTCGAGTACTCACTCCCCCCACACTATTGTTCAGCTTATATGTTCAGATGTGTCGCGCGGAATCCACACATAGCTACAATTTATTTTGTGTTATTTATTTCTGTGTTTGTTATATCTACGGAGACTCGAGAGACTCTACTATGTCATCCAAACGAAGTAGAACTAATTCTTCTGCATCAAACAAGAAAAGAAAAACTTTATCTTTGGAATGTAAAGTTAACATTGGGTATGTTCGTAAAGTCGAACGAGTTAAACGAGAATGACGTCATCGTTATTCCTATTTCGTTAGACTTTTCGAACGATTCGTTACTAACGCGTTTAACTCGTTTGACTTTACGAACGTACCCATTATTAAAGACTTCGATACAAAAATGAAAATTTGTGAATTGGCAAAGAAGTTTGATCTACCGGAATTGTCGGTCAGAACAATTATAAAAGGCAAAGAAAAAATTCTCGAAGCTGTGAAAAATGCTCAATCTTTAAATTCAAGCATCATTCGTAAACGTCACAGTATTATCGCTGAGATGGAAACAATGTTAAAATTATGGCGTAATAATCAAGTAAATGTGAAAAATTGTAAAATAATATAGGCCTAATTTGTTATACATATGTATTATCTAAGATTTTATTAAACATTTTTTTCTAAATTATTGTTTTCTTTAGTCTCCGGCTCCAATTAAAAATTATTTGTACGTATTTATATGCGAAATTATACCCCGACTTACGCGAATTTGACTTACGCGGTTACCGCTCGGTCCCACCTATCGCATAAGTTCGGGGTATTACTGTAATGAGAATTATATTCGTTATAAGATGGAAGGTTGCAAATTAACAGGGAAGCTGAACGGACATTGTTTAATAAGAAAATTAAGGCTAAGAAACGGATAGAAATAGATAAATTAATTACTGAAGATACAGAGATTACAGACATAAATGAGATAACAGATGAATTTATTAAGTTTTATACTATATAAATGTCCCAATACAGACGAGTAATTATGGGAGGAGTTATCCCAGTGTATAACACCTATTAAAGATAAAAATGAGAGTATTTTAGATAAAGTGATATCCTTGGAAGAGATACAAAGTGTGATTTGTAATTTATGTACGCAAAGCACCTGTTGTGATAGTATTCCATTAGAATTTTATAAGTTTTTTAACAAGATTATTTCTTTTATACTTTTTAAATTATTTAATTATACATTTTTAGCGACAAAACGACGAATGTTTTTAATTAGTAAAATTGGGTATAGGTAATTCTATTGGGTTGAGTCAAATAAGTTTTGTTAACGGATAGGTGTAAATGACTGTCAAATACTTGCTAGATGTTGTGTTGCTTCAACTGAGTTTTATTAGTGGCTATTAGCAAATAGTCTATAAATGTAAATTTTAACACTGAAGTGTCAATAATGTAATAAAAAATTGTTTTTTGAATTCATTTAAAATGGAACATTTGAAAGTGCATGTACACCATATCATGTTGTGGGAATTTAAACTCAGCAATAATGCTACAGAAAGAGCAAAAAAGATTTGCAATGTCTACAGCAGTGGTGTAATTTCAGACAGAGCAGTTCGAAAGTGGTTTACAAAATTTTGTTCTGGTGATTTGTCCTTAAAAGATGAAGACCAGGCCACTCCTCAGACTTCGACAATGATGTTTTAAAGGTTCTGATTGAGCAGAATCCACGGCAGACGATGAGGGAGTTAGCAGAGAAGCTGCACACATCCCAATCAACCATCAATTGTCACCTCCAAAAACTAGGAAAAGTGAGCAAGCTGGGAGTTTGGGTTCCGCATAACCTCAGTGAACAGAATAAGGCTGACAAAAGGTCGATAGCTGCTACCTTGCTTTCTTGGCAAAAAGAGGAATCTTTTATGGCTAAAATTGTTACAGGAGATGAAAAGTGAATCACATACAAAATGTCATTCGAAAAAGACAATGGGTTGGCAAATATGACCAGCCACAACTGGACCCTAAGCCTAGTGTGCATGGAAGAAAAACTGTGTATGTATGGTGAGATTGTCAAAAAATTATCCATTTTGAATTGTTGCCACACAATGAACTGTTACTGCAAATGTATACTTACAGTACAACAGTTAGAGCAACTTCGGCTAAAACTTTAAGAAAAGCATCCTGCACTTGTTAACAGAGAAAAGATCACCTTATTGCATGATAATGCAAGGCCACACACAGAGAAGATTACATAGGAAAAAATTTTGGAGTTTGGCTGTCTATTTTGCTTCATACGCCATATTCACTGGACCTGGCACAAACAGATTTCCATCTTTTCTGGGCACTACAGAATGCTTTACAAGGGCAATGCCTCCAAGATGATGACCAGGTTCAGGAATTTTTTTATTCAAAACCATCAAAATTTTATGCAAGGGGAATTGACAAGTTGCCCGAAAAATAGCAGGAAGTCTTTAATAATGACGGTGAATATGTATTAGATTAAAGTCTATTGTTGAACATTTTATTGGCAAATACATTTCACTTTAGAAAACGGAACTTATTTCTGACTCAATCCAATATTAATGATTTTAGGCCCCTTACACTGCTCAATATAGATTATAAGATTTTTAGTTTTGTGACGGCCAAAAGATTAGAAATATTATTTAGAGATGTTATTGTAAGTACACAGAGTGCTGACATTAAGAATCATACAATACAGAATAATATAATGTTTGCTAAATTAATTCAAGATATTTATGTTGAGAGAAAGTCTACACTTTCTATATTATCTATTGATGTCCAAAAGGCTTTCGACATGATTAATAGAGGGATATTATGGAAGATTTTAGATAAATATGGTCTTAATGAGAATGAACTAAATAGAATTAAACTGCTTTATTATAAACTGTATACGCAAATTAACATGAATGGAAGAACATCTACTGATGTTAGTTGTGATGCGGGTGTGAGGCAAGTCTGCCCATCAGCAATGTTATTGTTTGTGATTTATATTGATTTACTTCTGAAAAATATACAGTCTGCTCAAATGATTACTCCTATCTATATACTGGGAATGGCCGAGCATGTTAAGTTTATAGCACACGCAGATGACATTAGTTTCTTTTTGGTTAATCAGCCGGCAATGAATAGGACTGTGTCCATTATTAAAAAGTTTAGTAAATTGACTAGAATGGTGGTTAATGAAAATAAATGTAAGATGATGAATGTCTATGGTGATCTGCGATGAGATATGATGAATGTAGATAGGGTAAATAATAATAAGTTATTAGGAATTTGGTATGGTTCAAATAGTTGTGAAAAGACTGTGAAAGTGATTTTACAAAAGATTGAGAATGCTATTGAAGAATGGGATGATAACTGGTACTATATGCCTGAGAGAGTAAAAATTATTAATAAGGCAGTTTATTCAAGGATAATATATCAGCTTTACACAACAAGTTTGAGAATTTCAGGTATTAAATTAATTGAAAGAAAAATTTTTAATTTTGTTTGGAAAAACTCTTGAGCCAATGAGTCAAAAGATCATGAAAAACAGTTGGAATAATGGTAGATGGGATGGGGAATCTGGGACTTGAAGGGATTGGAGTATGCATTGCAGTTATCTAATATGTGTAATGTTTTGAAAATCTGCACTCATCCACTGATGTTTGTGGTAGAATATATTCTTGGCTCTGTTGTTAAGTGCTTCACACAGATAGGAGGAAATAGACCGTTCCTTGTTAGTAATAAAAAGAAATATCGTAGTTGGA